TCACTTTTTAGGACCTGCATGTGTAAATAAAGAGAACCTGTCACCCAAAAATCATCACATAGGGAACTTTGGTGAAAACGTCAACTGCGATACATATTACATGTTGCCGCACATGCCGGAGTGAAACCAATTAATTCTAGCACCAGACATCCTCCATAACTGATGACCTATGGGGGGTTTTGAAGCGTAGTCCATAAAAAATATAGGGTACTGAAATTTGTCGCCGTTTCATAGGCACACACAAATTTAGTGTTACTAAACCCAGGACCCTGCATTCACTATACCTGGTCTCTCAGTATACAGAACATGGAAATGCAATTATTCTAGCAAATATAAAATTGCTAAATACCTTTTCTTATCAGCAGTTAAAGCAGTCTTGTGAGTTCTATCAGTGTCCAGCAGAGCACATCTTAAAGCTTGTATGAGGAGTTTTCTTTCTGCTCTAGGAGGATGCAAAACCCCTGACCTCTGTCTGAACTTTGCTGATTAGCCCTTTGCTGATCACACGCACTCTCCCATGAAAAAAAAAACAAAAACAAAAACCCTAACAATACATACCAAACGGAGCACGTGCAGTGTCTCCACATGATATGTTTTATCAGGAGATAAGAGGGAGACACTATAAGAAGGGGAGGATCAGAAGTCAGGATCAAACAGCATTTTTACACAATGCAGAGGATTAACCCCTTATGGTCCACAGTGAGTATAACAAGCATGCTTTACTGCATATGCAGACTGATTTTACTGTTGTGGGTTTAGTTACCTTTTAAGGTTTGACATGTTGGGTATCTATTTACTCTGCACAACCTCATCTTTTATATTGTACCAAAAATGTGGGTAATTTATTGCGCTTGTTTGCCCTAAAATGCACTTTAGTGCAATTTTTACTAATATTTTGCTTTTCCTAGAGCTTTGCAATAATATGTGACATAAAAAAAAAAAAACTACCACTATTTTATTCTCTAGGTTGTCTGCTTTCAGAAAATATATTTGTGTAATCTTCAGGCCTAAAATTATTTTTTAAACGTGTGCAAAAAAAATGCAAAAATGGCTTTGCCAGCAAAAGGGTTAATGGGTGTGTTCAATAAAGACATGAGAAATTAGAATGGTCTCTTATCAGCTTAAGCACATTGTGTTTGTCTGTTGTGACTTACATGAGGATCAGATCACACTTCATGGCAAAATTACTGCAGAAAACCAGTTAATGCCAAGGAGTTTTTCTTGCATACTTTTTTTTGCAACTGTAAACTGGGGTGGTTGCCATCTTTTTTGTGTAGTTTGTTCACTGGATATGGCGTGGGGACACATTGGATGCCTTCAGCTACCATTGTGCTCTTGCTGGGCGTCTAATGTGTTTTTAATCGGCCTTTAAGGAGGAGTGGGCGACCTTCAGGAGTATCTGCCCAATTTATCCACTGCTATATATGCACCAACTTGGAGATTCTCAAATATAAAGTTGGGACTGCAGCATACATAGGAGCCTTGGTGAGGCACTGCGACAGTACACTGCACAATGTGTGCAACTGAACCCTCAGTTTTTAATATGAACTGTTGCACAGGGTAAATTTTATTTTTTTTTTGCAGGGTAGTTGGTAAGTGTGCTGGGAAAATGTCTTTTTGTTTGCGACGGTAAAAGAAAAATCACAAATTTTGGGTTGTTTCCAGTATGGTAATAGTGGGGAAATCTTCCAATATGGAACACTCTGATGACAACCAGGGACTTTGGAGAGGTTTGAATGACCAAGTTCCCTGAACCAGTAGGGTGCCCAGGACTCCACCCCAACCCAAAAGAATCCTCCAAAACAAGTTAAGGTTTTCAGACTTCAAGGCAAGGCTTGGGACAACCTGGCTCTAGGTGCTGGACAAATTGGTGTGTCTACAGACCAAATGACTTATACCCTGCCTGCAGAATTTTGCATTGTAGAGGTCTGGAGTGAAGCTACGCAAATAGGATTGCCTTAAAAGAGGCTACCATCAGACTTAGGACTCTCAAACAAACTTTCTCCTCAGGAAAGCCTGAGCTGTGTTCAGGACTAGACTTAGGTACTCCAAATGATTATGATCCAACAGTGATTAAAGTGGACATTAATGCATTCCATCTGGCTCCTTCCTTGCCACTTCAGCAAACTGCACCTTTTTTGAGGGGGGGCATAAACATTCTCAGCAGAGCTAGGTCAGAGCTTTTGCCTCAATTGCCTAGTAGAGAGGGGGTACATCATTCTCAGCCTCAAGTCTTCTGGAATAACCAAGTCACAAATCCTAGGAGGCTACAGAGCTATGCAGAACACTTTATATCTTCAGTGCAGTGCCATCAGGAAGCCAGCTTCTAGAAACCAAGAGAGATAGCTTGCTGGCTTATGACGGTGCAAAAAAACAGGAGAAAAAAAAGTTTTTTTTAACAGATAAAAGATTTTAACACTTGCAGTCTGTTAAGCTGAGGAAGATGGGTGCTCTTCTCACCAGCAGCATCTTTGATAATGTTGTCAAGAACTGGTCTGAAAAGATGCATTCACCAAGTCAATGTGTATCAAATGTGTTTTTTTACACACACACGGTTTCCGCAATCCAGCATTTTAGCCAAAGTGCCCTACATACTGTATATGAGTTGCCATGAGACACATGCAAGAAATGAGAGATGGGAGGCTTCTAGCAAACCATCACAGCTGAAACATTTGCACGATTGCTATCTGCTCCATGCGTTCTTTAAAAGAGAGCTCAATCTCTGCAGCGGTTAGATTCATACAAGTTAGAAATCCAAAATCCCCACCACTGCTCAGACACAGCCGGCACTATTCTCCTCCTCTGGATCAGCTGGGTATCGAAGCTTCAGGAGCCTGATGCACTCCACTCTGCACACCAGTATTCTTGGCTCCAATGTAGATTTAATCAAGCTGGCAACTTATATGTGACAACTTATAGTCTCCTTCCAAAAAAGCTCAGTAATCCCTCTCTTCTAAAAACACATTCAACAAGCAGTAGCCCCCTTACCTAGAGATCAGCATATTTCTTCCCAGAACAAAACTACATAAGACTGTGAAGGTAGTTGAAAGGGACAGTCTCGATACTTACGTTTGTGCTTTGGGTAGATTACATCAAAGCCTGGCAGTGGCATCACAATGTCATGAATGCTGTAGTTTTCAACGTCATTTTCCGCTAGGACTACTGCAGTGGCTGTGAAAAACAAAACACGATAAATTAGGAGTAAGCCTTACCTATTATTATTAAAAGTTCCATAACAAAAAACAAAAAACAAAACACACACACACACTTGAAAAAGTGGGATTTTATGTGAAAGACCAACACAAAGTGGCACATAATTGTGAAATGGAAGGAAAAGGAAAAATTGTTTCAAAACATTTTAGAAATGTCTGAAAAGTGTGGAGTGCATTTGTATTCAGCGCCATTGAGTCAATACTTTGAAGAACCACCTTTCACTGCAATTACAGCTCCAAGTCTTTTTGGGTATGTCTCTACGAGCTTTGCACATCTAGAGCAGGGGAGGTGTGAGACTTCCTCCCCATGCTCTTCAAACCCAGATTTGACAACACCAGCTGGTAAATGGCACTGTTTTCAGGAAACAATGCCTGCACCCGTGTGGTGCACATGGCCAGCCAAAATTTGTTCAGTCACTGGCAGTGACTATACCTTTCAAGGTAATGGGGCCTGCAGAATACCAAGATATGGCTGCCCAAACCATGATTATGCTGCCACCATGCATTACTGTTGGCACAACACAGACCTGGTTGTAAGCTTTCAACGGTGTTTGCCACACGTAAAAAAAAAAAAACATCTGGTGGATTGGAACTGTGTGAAGCTTGATTCACTGGACCATATTACAGTTTTCCACTGATCAATAATCCATGATTTATGGGTGTTGCACCATTCTCTTCTCTTCTGAGCATCAATATCGGTCACTAGTGGTTTGGCAATTGCAGCTCACCCGTAAATGTTTTGCTTATGGAGTTCTCTCTGCACAGTTTTCGTGAACACGGGCTGGGAAGACAGAGATTGAGCTCTGCAGTCACTTTTGCAGCAGTTTTCTTATTCTAGGGTCAATCCTGCAAAATGCCCTTTGTATCTTTCCGTCGGTTGACCATGTCAACCACACATCAGATGACATTTTCCCGGAAACTGTATATGCTTGTCAAACCCTTGATACTGTACCTCGCGACACCACAGATACATTGACAGCTTCAGTCACAGAGGCACCAGCTAAGCAGGCACCAACAATTCGCCCTCTCTGATGGGACTTTGTATTATTAGCACCACAAGCAGTGAATGATGAAAGTGAGGCTTCCCACCTGTTAGCTAGGTGTCCCATCACACACAGCAGAAGCAAAAGTATGAAAGAATGTTACATAACTGGGCAACACAGTGGCTAAATGGTTAGCACTTCCACCTGGCAGTACTAGGGCCGTTGGTTTGAATCCCAGACACAGCACCTCCTGCCTGTAGTTTGCTTGTTCTCCCTGTGCCTGTGTGGGTTTCCTCCGAGTACTCTGGTTTCCTCCAAAGACATGCTGATAGGTGAATTGGCTCCTGTCTAAATTGGCCCTAGTATGTGTATGTATGAATGTGAGTTGGGGACCTTGGATTGTACGCCCCTTGAGGGTTAGGGACTGATGTGAATGTACAATATATATGTAAAGCGCTGCGTAAATTGACGGCGCTGTATAAGTACCTGAAATAAGTAAATAAATAACTTCCGGTTTGAACACAAAACATGTCACACCTGCAAATCATGTAGTGTTCCATAATTTTGCCAAACACACATACTGCCAAAAGTATTGGGACACCCCTCTAAATCATTGGATTCAGGTGTTCCAATCACCTCCATGGCCACAGGTATAATATATATATATATATATATATAAAAAAAAAAAAAAAAAAAAAAAAAAAAAAAAAGCACCTAAGCATGAAAACTGCTTCTACAAACATTTGTGAAAGAATGGGTCTCTCTCAGGACCTCAGTGAATTCAAGCGTGGTGATAGGCTGCCACATGTGCAATAAGTCCATCCGTGAAAATTCCTTGCTACTAAATATTTCACGGTCAACTGTTAGTGGTGTTATAACAAAGTGGAAGCAACTGGGAACAACAGCAACTACCACAAAGTGGTAGGCCACGTGAAATGACAGAGCAGGGTCAGCGCATGCTGAAGCGCACAGTGCGCAAAGTCACCAACTGTTTGCAGAGTCAATAGCTAAAGACCTCCAAACTTCGTGTGGCCTGCAGATTATCACAACAGTGCGTAGACCGCTTCATGAAAAGGATTTGCATGGCCGAGCAGCTGTTCCAAGCTTTACATCACCAAGTGCAATACAAAGCGTTGATGCAGTGTAAAGCACGCTGCCACTGGACTCTAGAGCAGTGGAGATGTGTTCTCTGGAGTGACAAATCATGCTTCTCTGTCTGGCAATCCGCTGGACGTTTCTGGGTTTGGCGGTTGCCAGGACAACAGTATATTATTATACAGGATTTATATAGCGCCAGCAGTTTGCGCAGCGCTTTACAAAATGAAAGTAGACATTACAGTTACAATACTATTTGGTAAAAGAGGAAACAGATGGACCTGCTCGTTAGAGCTTACAATCTAGGAGGTGTGAGAGTAGTATATATATATATATATATATATATATATACACATACACACACACACACACACACACACACACACACACACACACACACACACACACACACATATATATATATATATAATACATATACACACGCATATATATACATACATACATACATACATACATGTTTGACCATCCTTCCAGAAGGGCTCTAATTTATCCCAGGTTGAGGTCAGGACTCCGTGCAGGCCAGTCAAGTCCCTCCACCCCAAACTCTCTCATCCATGTTTTTATGAACCTTTTTTTTGCTCAGTAATATTGGAACAGGAAGTGGACATGCCCAAACTGTTCCCACAAAGTCAGGAGTATGAAATTGGCCAAAATGTCTTGGTATTCTTTATGCCTTAAGTGTTCCCTTCACTGGAACTGGGGCCAATCCCAACCCCTGAAAAACAACCCCACACCATAATCCCCCCTCCGCCAAACTTTACAATTGGCACAATGCAGTCAGGCAAGTACCGTTGTCCTGGCAACCGCCAAACCCAGACATCGGATTGCCAGACAGAAAAGCGTGATTTGTCACTTCAGAGAACACATATCCACTGCTCTAGAGACCAGTGGTGGCGTGCTTTACACCACTGCATCCGACGCTTTGCATTGCACTTGGTGATGTAAAGCTTGGATGCAGCTGCCCAGCCATGGAAAACCATTCCATGAAGCTCTCTATGCACTGTTGTGCTAATCTAAAGGCAACACGAAGTTTGGAGGTCTTTAGCTATTGATTCTGCAGACAGTTGGTGACTTCTGAGCACTGTGCGCTTCAACATGCGCTGACCCCGCTCTGTAATTAAGTAGCACAGGGGGGTTGTTAATCAGTTTCAGCTGCATTGGTAATGAAATTTGCAACAGATGTGCTAGATTGGTAAAAATGAGATGATCCCCCAAAACAGGAATGTCTTTTACAGGTGGAGGCCACTAACATTTTTCTCCCTACTCATCTTATCTGTTTTTCACTAGTTTTTCATTTGGCTAGGGTCACTGTCACTACTGGTAGCCTGAGGCGATACCTGGACCCTACAGAGGTTGCACAGGCAGTCCAACTCCTCCAGGATGGCACATCAATACATGCCATTGCCAGAAGGTTTGCTGTGTCACCCAGCACAATCTCAAGAGCATGTGGGAGATTCCAGGAGACAGGCAGTTACTCTAGGAGAGCTGGACAGGGCCATAGAACGTCCATCAGCAGGACCATTACATGCTCCTTTGTGCAAGGAGGAACAGGATGAGCACTGCCAGAGCCCTACAAAATGACCTTCAGCAGGCCACTGGTGTGAATGTCTCTGACCAAACAATCAGAAACCGACTGCATGAGGGTGGTCTGAGGGCCTGACGTCCTCTAGTAGGCCTATGCTCACTGTCCAACACCACAGAGCTCGATTAGGATTTGCCACTGAACACCAGAATTGGCAGGTCCGCCACTGGTGCCCTGTGCTTTTCACAGATGAATGCAGGTTCACCCTGAGAACATGTGACAGACGTGAAAGGGTCTGGAGAAGCTGTGGAGAACGTTATGCTGCCTGTAACATCATTCAGCATGACCGTTTTGGTGGTGGGTCATTGATGGTCTAGGGAGGCATAGCCATGGAGGGACACATAGACCTTTACAAGCTAAACAATGGCACCCTGACTACCATTATGTATCAGAATGAAATCCTTGGATCCATTGTCAGACCCTACGCTGGTGCAGTGGGTCCTGGGTTCCTCCTGGTACACGACAATACTCGGCCTCATGTGGCGAGAGTATGCAGGCATTTCCGGAGGATGAACGAATTGATACCATTGCATGGCCTCACCTAAATCCAATAGAACACCTCTAGGATATCATATTTCGGTCATGCACCTCAGACTCTCCAGGAGCTCAGTGATGCCCTGCTGAAGATCTGGGAGGAAATACCCCAGGACACTGTCATCTCATTAGGAGTATGCCCTGATGTTGTGAGGTATGCATACAAGCACGTGGGGGCCATACAGACTACTGAGTACCATTTTGAGTTGCTGCAATGAAATTTCAGCTAAATGGACTAGCCTGCTGCATATTTTTTCACTTTGAAGGAAATGAAAATTATCAACCTACAGAGGACTGAATTCAAAGACATCATGAAAATCAAAGGACGGGGCATCCTTACATTCCTAACATTAATCAGTCCATATCAGTATAGATATCCAGCATGATATTTTCTCCATTGAGATCTGATGTGTTTTCAAAGTGTTCCTTTCATTTTGTTTTTTTTTTGAGCAGTGTATATAATGGCTAAAAGCAGGTTTAATAGGCAGTCACTGCCAAAAAAATTATGTGGTGGAGGGAGCCGAGCTGTCTTTTAAATCTCCAGCACCTATTACTGGCTGACAGATATTGTAAAGGAGCGCAGGAGTTTTGTACCAATTTTAGATTATCTATAGATTTTCTTTATAGAGCTTTTGGATGTTTGAGACCAGATAATTTGCCACAACTTCAGAGGAACTACCTCTCTCCCAGAATGTAGGAATGTTGCTGCTGTTGTCTTAAACAAGACCCACAGATCCCAAGGCTTAGGTATCCTGAGCCTATATAGAAGGTGTTTTGTAACAGGTCCAAAAGGAACCAATCCCTAGAATTGGAGTTTGGTGTTCTGCAATTCTGACTGTCTCGGCAAAGCAGAAGAGGTGGAAAATATAAATGTTTAAACCCTTTGCCTGAAATTCCATGTCAGGGATGCCTATACCATAGAGCACACATACATGCATATTCTCACAGTAAGGACATGCACGAGAAAGAGCGAGGAAAGCTTTTTAACCACCTTTCGCCCGCCCTATAGTAAAATGACGGGCGCAAGGTGGTTTCTCTCGTTCTGATAGGACGTCATATGATGTCCTACCAGACTCACCGTGCATGCGCGGCTCAGGGAGCATGCAGCGCGGCGATCGCCGATGCGCTGTGTCCCTCGGACACAGCAGATCATGGAAAGAGCCGAAGATGTCAGCTCGGTCATGTGATCAGCTGTATCCAATCACAGCTGAACACATGTAAAACACAGAAATGCCGGTTATCGGCATTTCCCTCCTCTCGAGCGGTCACGCTGACAGCTCGAGAGGAGAGGAGAGCCGGTAATCGGCTTTCCGCGGAGGGGACATGTACACTGATTATCAGGGCACTGATCAGTGTGCCGATGATCAGTGTGGCCCCAGAAGTGCCACCTGTCAGTGCTCATCAGTGCCACGAACCCATCAATGCCACATATCAGTGCACATCACATCAATGCCACATATCAGTGCCCATCTGAGCTGCCTTTCAATGTCACCCATCAGTGCTGTCAATCAGTGCCACCTATCAGTGCCACCTAACAGTGCCATATATCAGTGTCATGTATCCGTGCTGCCTTTCAGTGCCCATCAGTGATGCCTGTCAATGCCCATCAGTGCAATCCCTGCCTTTCAGTGCCTCCTCATCAGTGCCACCTATCAGTGTCCATCAGTGCAGCCTATCAGTGTCCATCAGTGCAGCCTATCAGTGCCCATCACTGCAGCCTCATTAGCGCACATCAGTGAAGGAGAAAAATCACTTATTTACAAAATTGTATAACAAAAACGAAGAAAAAATGTTTTGTTTTTTTCACAATTTTCAGTGGTTTTTGGTTTGTTTAAAAAAAACTTAATAACCTGGGATTTTTAATACCACCAAAAGAAAGCTCTGTCTCCAAAAAAATGATACAAATTTTATATGGGTACAGTTTTGCATGACCATGCAATTGTCATTCAAAATGTGACAACGCTGAAAGCTGGAAATTGGCCTGGGCAGGAAGGGGGTATAAGTGCCATGTAGGCTAGTGGTTAAAAGACGTCTTAAGTCTTAGACTTCAGGCTACAATATATAAATTTACATTCAGCCTTTTTTTTTAGACAGAATTCCTGAAGTGGAAAAACCAAGTGCTCTATGCTTTGAGGGGGGAGAGGATCTCTGTGTATGAATAACTTTTTCCAGTGACATCTTTATGAGATTGTCCAGAGTGTCACCAAATAAACTCTTAAAACGGTAAACATAGGAGGCATCTTTTGTTTGAGGCTTTACTGACCAGGCTTTATGCCATAGCATTCTGATGTATCTGGATGGAAATCAAGGCCATTTTCGAAATCTGTCTGATGACTGGTTGTAATGCAGCTACACAATTAGGTAGTAAAGGGGGTAATTACTCTAAGTGCTGTGTTAAGGCAGGATGCTGGAAACCAGGATTGCATTAGTTGCACATTTTCCAGGTCCAGGTAGCTGTGGTCTGGCAGATAGACAAAGCAGCGATTGCTGGCTGCAGAGCTTGACCGGCCAGCCTACAGAGCTCTTAGGAGTGCTTCAAAATTTCCTATGTACAGGATCATTAAATAGAGAAACCTTTTGGTGAAATCGCTAGATGCTTATTCAAGAATAAAACAGTTGGATCTACTACTGGTACTGTCCATTATGTAGTAAACTCTGTTTCCATAGGATAGAGTTTTGTGACGATTTTGGGGAGAGAATATCTTTCTTAGATTGCACCAATCTTCATAAATTGTCCCTTGTGTTTGATTTTAAACAGGACAAGCAGTTTAAGACTTTGCAAGGTCCATCACAATAGCGCTAAGGTCCTCGTGAATACCAAAGATAAGTAGCGCTGTATCGGCAGACTAAATTGTGAGGATATAGTAGCCTGTGCACAGGGGCCTAGGAGACAGATATCATCTGAGGTGTTTTCTAAAAATTTCTCCAGATCCTCCTGTACCTTTTATATGCTTGCCTCTTTAAGGGCTGACAGTATAGAATTCAACACTAAATGAAACTGCTCGATTGGGGAAGGAGCCTAGCAGATTTTTGGTCAGGAGAGAACTGTGTTAACCCTTTTGCTGCCAGTCATTTTGCTTTTTTTTTGCACACGTTTAAAAAAATAATAACTTTAGGAAGTTAAGTTAAAACCTCCAAATGTTATTTTCTGAACGCTGAGACTCTGGAAAATAAAATAGTGGCAGTTTAATTTTTTTTTGTCACATGATATTTGCACAACGTTTTATCAAGCACAAAGTTTCAGCTAAAAATACAATTAAAATAATTCTAGTGCACAAAAATGCATTACCCTATTTTTGGTCAAATATAAAAGATGAGGTTGCACCAAGCAAAACAGATATTGAAGATATGAGATATACACTTGAGTGCACTCACAAACTGTCATCATCTTTGTTACCCTCTATTTTCCACAGGCCTCTACAGGTCATCAGTTCAGCAACAACTGTGAATAATGGTCCTAGAATACTGCCCTCACCGCAGCTTACGCGATGGTATGTAAAGTGTATCACAAGAGAGGTTTTTGTACGCAGGCACCCTGACGGATACATTCATGTTTATATGTGCAAGAACATGGAGCATGCTCAAAATTTTTATTTGTTTACATAATATTTTAATTGAGACCAAAACAAGATCCCTCCATTACACTGTTACATAAGCTTGAGTCCTCCAAACAGTCTTCAGGCTGTCACCAGCCCAGCAAATTCCAGTATAAATCAAATATCCAAACCATAACATACAGTATGTGTAAGAATGTAATATTGACAGTACTGACACTGAAAGAAGGAGGAAACATGTATAGATATAAATACAAACATACACCTTCACAGGATCAAAGTCTGCTTAGGAAGTCAGTGGTGAGCACCTCTAGGACAGTGGTAAGACACCATCCCAAGACACCAAAAGCCCAATGTCAGCAAGATTTGCACACATGCCGATAAACCAAAATATATTTTTTTTTGACATTTGCTTTTTTTTTTGTTTGTTTTCTTTCTAAAACCTTATTTATCACATGGGGAGACAAAAAATCCCCTATGATATAATATTTTTAAGACAGGTTCTCTTTATTGAGACATCAGGGGTCTTTTAGATCCCTGATGTCTCCCCTGCCTTTCAATGAAGCAAATGAAGCACAGTTCACGCTCCATTAGCTTCTTCCATGGCCACAAGGGCCAAGGAAAATGACAACAGAAACCAGAAGTGATGTTTTAAAAACATTGTTTCTGGGTTCATTCTAGGTAGAGGAGATCTATACATTTGCTGGTCTCCATTCTCTCCAGCTGCTCTCCTGCTGGTGATGCCTGGGTGAGACCGTAGAGCCCAGAAAGCACGGCAGGGGGCACAATAAGAAATCCGGGAGCTGTACAGCCGCCAGATCGCTTTCATTAGAAAGCCAGAAGTTAGCTTGTGGAATGCCACAGCCATAAACCTTACAGCGGTGGCAGTATGAGAGTTAAAGCCATTAGCTGTTTGAGGAATTGTGCCATGAATGCAAAAAGTTCCTCTTAAGTCAGATAGGGTGCTTGCTGTGCGCCACATATAGGCTGCTCCGGTTGCAGAGACAGGTGCTTTAAGGTGTTCCTCCAGTGTTAGGGAAGCCTCAGCACTCTGGAATGGAGTTTCACACAAGGCCTTGGCGAAGTAACTGAGTGAGGGTATTCTTTTGTACTCACAAAGCAGGGTGAAGAACATAGGTTATGCATGTCCAGAAAGAACGCGATAACCTTGGTTGCAGGCTGCCTATAAAAGGTTGTAGGCAGGATGACAGTAAACTGCATGACCCATTGTACGAAGCAAGCTGTAAGTGGTTATGTTTTTGTGTCAAGTTTTAAATGTTTACAAAGAATGTGAAACACATTTCAAACTTAACCTTAGTTATTACTGTAATGGTCACAATTACAAGGTAACACTGTCTTGCCTATTCACCCAGCTCATTCCAGTAGAGGGTCCAGGATTCACCCATCAAGGTGGGCTTACTCCCAAAGGGGTCTTCAGGGTCTGGGTTCGATAGAAATGGACCATAACCCTGGACCTGTATAGTAAGGAGTGAGTATGGAGACCAGCATATGTATAGTCGCTGATCTCCCCTACCTAGAATGAACCCAGAAACCAATAGCCATTACTCCATACTCATACTCCTTGACCTTTCTGCTGCCTTTGACACAGTCAACCACCCCCGCTCCTCCTCAGTAAACTCCACTCCATCAGCCTCCATGACTCTGCTCTCTCCTGGTTCTCCTCTTACCTTTCTCAGCGCACTTTCAGTGTCACATACAACTCCTCCTCCGCTCCTCTCCCTCTGTTGGGGTACACCAAGGTTCTGTCCTTAGCCTCTACTTTTCTCTCTCTACACGTCCTCCCTGGGCCAAATGATAACCTCCCATGGCTTCCAATACCACCTCTATGCCGATGACACCCAGATCTATCTCTCCACTCCCAAGCTCACCCCCTCAATATTTTAACAATTCACAAATCTACTAAGCAACATATCAGCATGGATGTCACACTACTACCTTAAACTCAATCTTTCCAAAACCGAGCTTGTAATATTTCCTCCTCCCAGATCCCCCACTCACGACTTTACCATTAAGATCAACAGCACAACCATTGGTTCTTCCCCTCATGCAAGGGTGCTAGGCATAATCCTAGACTCTGACCTCTTCTTTAGACCCCACTTCCAATCACTGGCTAAATCCTGCCACCTCAACCTCCGGAACATTTCCAAAATCCGCCCCTTCCTGCCCCTTTCTGACCAATGACACCACAAAACAATTTATCCACGCCTTGGTTATATCCCGCCTTGGTTACTGCAACTCCCTCCTCACTGGTCTACCGTTACACAGGCTATCTTCCCATCAGTCTATTATGAATGCTGCTGCTAGACTCATACACTTTACCAACCGATCAGTGACTGCTGCCCCTCTCTGCCAATCCCATCCACTGGCTTCCACTAACCCAACGTATAAAATTCAAAATACGAACCACAGCTTATAAAGCCATCCACAACACTGCCCCTAGCTACATCGCCAACCTCATCCGCAGATATCACCCAAATCGCCCACTACGCTCCTCCCAAGACATCTTCCTCTCTAGCTCCCTCACCACCTCCTTCCACGCTCGCCTCCAAGACTTCTCCAAAGCCTCTCCCATCCTCTGGAACTCCCTACCACAGTATGTCCGGTCAACCCCCACCCTGTCTGCCTTTAGGCGATCTTTGAAAACTCACTAATTCAAGGAAGCCTATCCCACCTCCACCTAAGAAATGTACTTGAATCACCTCCACCAGATCATCCCCCACAGCTATCACCTCCCCCTTCCTTAGATTGTAAGCTCCATGAGCAGGGCCCTCATATTCCTTCTGTACTGAAATGTATTGTAATTGTACTGTCTCCATTATATTGTAAAGCGCTGCGCAAACTGTTGGCACTATATAAATCCTGTATAATAATATTAATACCCTGCTGCTGACTACAATGTGCTGCAATAAATACCAAGATGAGCGCTTGTGCAAGATCCAGTGCTCAAAGTGACATCACAAGCCATTAACACGGCATGGGGTCCAGGTATGGCTCTCAAGGTTTTTACTGCGGTTGCACTCATCTGGTTGCACGCTTTCTATTGTAACATATAGAAGACAGAGAGGAGTTGATTGAAGAATTCCAAGAAAAAATAATAATAAAGTAATACACAAAGGAGTAATTTCTTTGCAGGGGAGAAGAGGTCACTAGCAAAAAACAGGAGATTCACAGAGTGAGGCAGGGTTATATGGAGATGGTCCTGGGGATGTGTCCTCAACCTAATTAACATTTTCTGCTTTGATATACTGGAGGGACAAGTTCACAAGAAGTACAAAATCTGCCTGTAGTTGGGAATATTTTTGCAGTCAAATTAGATCTGAATTAGCCTTTTATTAATTCCTGGCAATATGAGAACACATATGATCCCAGTCTTCTTTAGACATAGTTGTGAAAAGAAGTTGCGATTTCTAATTGCAACAGGAAACGTGTTCAGTTTAATATTCATTTAATAGGAATGCATTTTGGTTCCTAGACTGGGTCTCCAAACCAAAATGAAGTTGAAGAATCTGCAGAAGAAATTATTTGGCAATTTATTGTTCTTGCAGTCACAAAGAGGAGTGTAAAGTCCCCGCTCAATATACATCTGTTAGGGTGACAATTCCATGTGATTCTACAGGCCAGATGCAGGAATAGTACAGAGTTTGTCCAGAATTGGGTTATTCCAGAGAGCTACACCATCCACCAGTAGATCCTGAAAAGATATGAATAAAATGGGCAAGTGTTGTGTACAAGGAAAAAATATATAGGTGCTTCCAAGAAGATCAACACTTGTCACCTCCCCAGTACATCCACTCTGAAAAAAAGTATCCCAGGAAAGACCCATATAGTCTAGTGTTTTAACTGTTCCACTAGTTAGTAATAAAAGAAGAAAAAAGTTTGAGAGAGCCATTCCAGTCTTCTACCTGGGTCTTTGTAATATGACCAAATTTCAGTTTTGGTCTAGAGTTGTCCCAAACAAAATGAGGAAAAAAGGAAATACAGTTCCTTGAAGAGAAAAAAAAATTATTTTGGGACCATCACAGGCCTGTGGATGAGTATGTAGACACTTTGAAAGGTGAAGCACTTTATTGAGATTTAATTTGCCTTCTACTGACAGTGGTAGCAAGATCACACTTGCAGTTTGTTTTTAATATACTGCAGTGAGTAGTGATATTTTCTAGGGTAGCAAGCCTGAAATCCTGAGTTGTCACAATCCACAAATTAAGCCCAGAACATTCTCCAAATTTTTCAATGGTGTGTATAGCCAAGGATAGGGAAGAGCCCATGTCTTGAAGAAATATATTTTTAATTGTCAGCATATAGCCCTATATGATCAGTTATACCCAAGTGTTTCCATTTTCCAGATGTTGACGGCAAATAACTGATGGCATAACAAATAGGAGCTGGGATAAGGGGTATATCGCTACATTATAACCCATTAAGTGTAAAGGAAGGGGTAGTAAACCACCGACCAAAATATTGCATTGTGTAGAAGCCTAAAGTATACTTACACATCTTAAAATCTGGGCCCAGATCAAAAACATGCAAGTAAGAATGTCCACTCATTAAAAATCAAAGGCCTTGTCTGAAACCAAAGCACATGTCTCTTGAATATGCTCCAACAATTAGGCCACAACCTGAACTCTGCGAATATTAATCAGGGTTGAATTACCAAGCATAAAGTCAGTTTGGTCATGACGTAGGAGTCATGATATCTTCGAGTTCAACCTAGTAGCTGAAATCCTATTTTACAAATTTATGTTTAGTATGGGAATAGTCCTAGAAGTAGATTTAATTGGATCCTAGTCAGGTTTTACTAGGAGCACAAAATGAGAACATCATATGTAAAAACATTAAAAGCTTCTTTATATACAATCTCTAGATTAGGTATGATGGCATCCATAAGGCAAAGATTCAATAAAGTTTTTTTTTTTTTTTTTAAATCCCCAGTGATTTCTTTATCTGGTTCAAATGAACCTGAGCCGATGATAATTGTACGAAAGTTACCACATCTAAATATGTTTGCATATCATCTTGAATTTTATTAAAGTCATCCATAGATGGATCAAATATCGGCTGGTCCCTGCTGAACCAGCTGAGATTGGAACCATCTATGAGCAGGCCATTTCATGGAGGTCAATCCATGATTTGACTTAGGTACAACCAGCATGCGATTATTGCCAGCAGCTATAGCTACTAGCAATAATCATTGGATTCTCCAAGCTGGGACGGCTCCCTGTGCCTCCCCTCCGGGAGAACACAATAGCTCTACGGGAGGAATTACCCTCATTCGTTTCTGTAGCCCGTGGTTGCAGGAAAGAATATCTCATCATCTATGGCCTACAGCTAAGGCTGACTGTACATTATACAATTTTTCTCCTACAATTTTCCTTTAGATTTAACAAAAACTATATGAGGTCAAACCTGAACACTTACATTTTGTATGAAATCAGACAGGCCCTTGCACTACATAGGTGAAGGTAAATCTAAAGGAAATCGAATTAGATTATATAATGTATGGCCAGCTTAAAAGTGGATGTATACATACATTTATAGGATTTGCAAAAGCAGTATGTTATTCCCTCAACATCAGTGAACCATACTCACCCAATATTTTAAAAACAGAGGTAGATGTTTGTTGTTGCCCTGGTATGTAGGCAATGATTAACATACTCAGGTATTTAGTAAAAAAAAAAAATGAAGATTGCATTAGAATAATTGAGAGACAGTCTCCCAGGTTTTAGAGTGTTTTTCAGTTTGGTCTACTAGAAAATGTACTCTGTATCACTGTATGTTTTGGCTATTTGGCTAGCTCATTGTCTGCCTGACAAAATTACATTTTAATATAAGAGATGATTGGTTTGAGGAAGCCTCTGAGGAACACTTTAAATATGGCCAAAAAATTATAATTACCAATCTCAGTAAGGGGAAATAAATGCTTCTTTCCTAGGACAGACAGAATTCTAAGGCTCTCAGCAGGAGTTCTCTCAAATGCAGCTGTCCATGTCAATGGTAAGCTATGCACACAAGAAGGTGAATTTGATTTTTAGTTAATTCTGTAAATGGTGTTTAGATTAAAGAACCTTATAAATTGGCAGGGGTGACAGACCCCATGCTTTCTTGCCAAACAGGATGAAACCTGTGATATAAATAAAATACTAGTATAAAAACAGAGGTTATTAAAAAGGTACAATTATCATTAAAGCGAGTGCTATACAGATACTACTTAATCAACTAAGGCATAACAATTGGGTAGACTTATTTTAAACAAAAATAAAGCATTTTTCATGATTTTAAATTATTTCCATATAAAAAAAAAAATAGTACCTCCTTTTAGTACAAGGTCACCAGGTACAACTTTTAGTCCATACTCCTCAATTCTCCTGCTCACCATGTTATTCCAGACATAGCTTTGATAACTGTGGATATACATCAATCGGTTGTTCCTAGGAATCTGAAGATAAAAAATATAGATCATAAAAATATTTATTTAAGCATAGCAATAATTATGTTCCTGGCACTCAGAAAGAATGTAATCTGTAAATTGAAGAGAAATCCACAGTCACATGAACCTTATTGGACTTAACCCTTACTAAGCCAGTTAATAAAGCAAAGTAGATGAAATCCTGGTGTTCAGCTTTGACTATTATATATATTACATATTTTGAAAATGAATGACAACAGTCACCAAGCTTTATTGAATATGTTGAAATCATTTTCTTTTCTTGACAACTTTTCACCTTGCACTGCATTAATTTAATGACTTCTTCCTAAAGAATATTAAAGAAAAATAATCCATTTATTCAAAACCCCATACAGCCGTTTCAGGCTTAATGGCCATCAATGCAGTGTATGGAAACCATGTCCATTTTTTGTGCTGTATACGTACAATATACCAACAGTTCTGAATATGAAAGTTGGCCATTGGTGCAAAAAGAACTGATTTGCATGCCATTTCCCACACTCCTGCAATAAGGAATAATCCTATTTCTTGGGGAACTAAGATGTAATGGATTGAGATATATGAACACCTTCTGTAATAAGGAGGCTCTACTGTGCTAAGAATTGATTGTGTAGCGAGCTTTTTGGCTTGTTTACGTCATCATAACCTTCTGGGTTATGCTTTATTTGGTCCCAAGCTCTCCACCACAGAAACCATGGTTTCCATACACTACATTGATTATGGCCTAAATGCATAAAGCAGCTGTAAGCCATTTGTATAAAGGTTTCTATATTGTTAGGTTGTATATGTTCTATACACCAGCAGTTCAAGATGTGCATTTGTGGAGGGAGGGGGGGGGGGGGAGGGGGGATTGGGGAGGAGGGGGGAGGGGAGATTGGGGAGGAGGGAGGGAGGGAGGAGGGGGGGGGGGGGGAGGAGGAGGGGGGGGGGGGAGGAGGAGGGGGGGGGGGAGGAGGGAGGGGGGGGAGGAGGGGAGGGGGGGGGAGGCTCTTATTTTTGTGATCTGTGCTAAAATGAGACATGTAATTTTGTTCATTTATGAGCAGGAGCTACAATTACATTAAAATTCTGGGTGACATGATGCAGTCTACATAACCTAAGATCTTCATAGTTGCTGCTTGGTTAACAAAATGTTGAAAGTTTAGATGAGAAAATGCATAGAATTAAAAAAAAAACTTGGAATTTTCCCATGTGGTTGATACAGAGCAACAACATTGATAGCCAACTCCATTACAAACATACTCACTATGCCAAAAGCAGTCACAATGTTCTTCAGACCATATCTGGAGAGTCCACGTAACAGCTGACCTTCCACACAACGCTTGACTGGCAATTTTCTGAGTGCAGCTTCTGGGTCCCTTGTATTTGCCCATTCCTCTCTGCACTGAACTAAATATCCTTTTTCAGCTGCAAATTGCAATTCAAAAAACACCATGTTAGATATACCCACAAAAATACAAATCACGTTCAACAGATGTCCTAAAAATAGATTTAATTCTTTACTGAGGGACACAGGTCAGAGACTGTTGGGTTATACTGTTGCATACAGGATTTAGACATTGGCAAACAGTGACCAGACTGGTATAACCCCTTCTATTCTCACCAAAATTTTGTTTTTTTGCTAGTGTCTTAGGAGAGTGAATGCCTTTTCTCTGCTGAGAAGTCAAATTTTTTGCTAGCCATCATTTCTTCAATCAGGATTCCATTAAAGCTGCTTGAGCTGGTCTCTATACACAGTTATCGAGATCAGCATATCCTCAGTAATAGATTTGGAGGCCATACCTTGACCCCACAAGACTGGAAGATTACAGGGCTCACCTGGAATGTGTCCTTCAAATACTGGGCTATCTATTTTGGCATTTTCCAGACCATAGTGTACTAAGTTAGTGCACCAGAGAGCACTTTCCAGGTCCACAGCCATGACAGAGTCTCAGTTGTTCCCCTGGGTATGAGCCAAATCGCAAGTTTGACTGCGCCAAATATGCATACTTCCATGTCTTTTCCTGCTTGATCATTATTTCACCTTCCAATTGAGACTGCCTTGACTCCTATAGGTGTGATTCCCACTACATTAAAAGGTTTGAGGATCTGTCTAAAGCTTCTACTAGTGCTACTCCCAGTCTAAGTTCCTTTAGGTACCCTAAGGCTGCCAAAACCTTTCCAGTGCATCAACTGTTTCCAGCAGTCCTTTATGGAGATTGGGCAAACCCTTACAAGCTGTACACACCTTCCAAGAGGCTGGCAGTGCAAAAGGATAGCTTTGTTAAAAAGTGGACCACTCTCTCTGTGGATCTGGCAGTAACAAATCATTGAAGACCCCAGTGGAGGACACGCTTGTATGAAAGCATCCCATTGACAAGTGACTGGAGAACTTATCCCTGTTTTCTTTGACAGGACCTACCTTCCTGCCTTGGGCATCATTCTAGTCTGTCAAACTATAGGTGACTAGATGAAGACCATGTCAAAACGAATGGCCTTCTTCCTTGCCGAGGGTCTCATACCTGCAGCCCTACTACTGTGTGGACAGTTTGAAAGATGCCTCCCATCTTATTTCTAACTTGTCTCGTCTTGCTCAATATGAGCAGGATCTTTGGTTAAAGTGTTGCGAACAGGCATGTAGGAAGTGTCTGCTGTGCATGTCCATTGAGGGCCATAGTCTCTTCGGAGCTGCCTTAGACACCTTTATCAAGGAGGTCACAGGGGGTAAGGATTGCTTACTGTACGTAACCCAGCAGAAGCAGCCTAGAGCTCAGGTCAAAGAAAGCTTACCCCCTTTCAGTGGCATTACCCTATTAATCAAAGCCCAAACCCAGTCCCTTGGTCCTCCCATAAACCCTGAGCTTCCAAGTTCCCTATACCTTCAAATAAACCTGCTCCACCATTAAAAGGCAACCACTCACTTTCTTAAATAGGGGGATATCTGTTAGCCTTTGTAGACATTGGGGCAGCCAAGGAATTTCAAAGGACTACATGCTACAATTCTGCTTATTCCATTCAGAGGATTTACCACCCCAGTACCTGTCAGCATGGTTTCAGGAGCTCTACTCTTAACTGTTCACAGTTCCTAAATCAAAAGGGGAAATCTATCCCATCTTGGACCTGCAGGACCTAAATATTTTCATTCGGGCCTAGAAATCCTGAGTGTTCACTGAAGTAAAGCCATCTGTGCTTGCCTTGCTATGCTCTGAGAGCATCCCCGATATTGGATATCTGGATGTTCTTCTGTAAAGGAACAGTCAGCACAAGTTTTGGCCAACATGGCAATAGCAATTCAGACTTTACAGAGGTTCAGTTGGATCCTAAACAATCAGAACTTAGCGCTGGAACCAACTCATCACTTGGAGTACCTGGGTTTCAGGCAAGACACAGCTCAAGCTAGAGGTTTTCTCTTCTCTTTAGTCCAGGAGCCATCTGAATCTACACTGCTCAAAAAAATTAAAGGAACGTACAAGAATACAATATTGATATACAAATCTATAAACCATCATATGTAAAGACTATAAGTACCAAAAAAAAAACCAGTACAACAAAACAATTATAATGGGGTAGAAACCGTGTCAGAAATAGACATAAATGATACAACAATGCAGAAAAAAAAAAAAAAACATCAAAATTGAGCAAATCCCTAGGAACGGAAGCTTGGTTAAGGAAGCCTGAACGAAAAAAAAGGCTCTATCCGAGAAGACATTTGAGGATAAGTACTATGTGGGCTAGAAACCTCAGGGAGGAGCGCAACTGTGAGGCGGGGCTAGAAGGCGAGTTGGATACTTGGAATTTACCCAAAGTATTGGTTAGTTGAGCTTTGAGATACCAATCTGAATAACAGAAGGGTTCCATATGAGCGGCTAACTCAGCAGGTGTAAAGGAATGCTCCATGTAGCACCTTGATCTTGAGGTAAAGCGATGTGTGGACTTGAAATTTTGACTGATGTGTCGAGCTTTTCCAAATTAAATAGGTTAGTTAGTGCCTGTGTCACCATTTTGAGATTTGGGGGGGGGGGGGGGGGGGGGGGGGGGGGGGTGTTTAGATGTAACCAAGCTTGCATGAGGGCTCTGCGAGCTACTAATAGACAAATTTGTATCCACTGGGGAAGAGTGCTCAGATGTGCCAAATTTGCACTGTCTTGGTAGCTGAAGAGACAGAGCATGGGATCTTTGGAAATAAAGACGTTGAATAATTTATTAATGTACCGAAGGACTTGATCCCAGAAAGAAGAGACTTAAGCACTTTCCCTTAAACGATGAATCAGGGTTGGTCGAGTGTAATCACAACAAAGACACGTTGGGCGGACGGCAACAGCCAAGTTCTCTGAGAAAGGATAGTAGGCTCGTGGATGATTTCAAATTTGAGTTTCGCGCCATGTTTCGCAGAGAACAAGCAAAGCTATTTTTCTGTATCCCGACAGTATTTTGTCTGGTGTTTCAACTGTAGACAGTATGGGGATCCATGGCTTATATGGAGTAAGGTGGTATTTTGCAGATTGATGAGAGATTAGATGAGAGTAGATATCGGAGATTGAGTAGTGGTCCTGTAGCAGAAGAACATCTATGAAGGAGCATTGGAAAGGATCCTGTTTGGGGGAATAGCATGTCCGAAGAAATGTCACCAACTGTTGATGGTAAAAGATGTGGGATCCTGGTAAGGAGTATTGAGCATTTAAAACTGAAAAGGGTTGAAAGGATCGCTTGGTATCATCAAAAACGGATATAACATTAGTAAGTCCTTTATAAAACCAATGGGTAAAAATGTTGCGTGCTCACTAGCTGGAGGGAACATAGGGTTTCCAACAATAGGCAAATAGGAGGATATCCTTAGTGGTAAGCCAAGAAGACTCCGTATTTCCCTCCAGGACAATACGGTGTCTCTGATCAGATGGGTCAATCGGATAGGCCCAGGTAAGGCTTTAAGTTTAGAATGCAAAAGGGCTAAGCGGTGTAACGGAGACCCCAGGGCCTCCTCTAAGGAGTAATTAAAGTAACGTGATTTCATGATAATCCAATTGAGACTCTGAAGGAGGCAGGACAAATTGTAAAATCTAATATTCGGCAGGCCTGAGATCCTCCTTACTCGTTGGGAGACTTAGCTTTTGTAGTGCAATGCGCGTTATTTTGTTTTGCCACAGGAAGGCTTGTAGGGCCTTATGGATCTACTGAACATCAGAATGCTTTAGCAGAATAGGGAGTGTTTGTAGAGAATAAAGCAATCTCGCAAATGAGATCATTTTGTAGAGATGGCATCTCCCAAAGAGTGAAAGGGGAAGAGTCATCCAAGCTTCCAATTCCTGTACAATCCTATTAATTAGAGGAGGGTAATTAAGGTAGTAGAGAGATGATGATGGTTCTCTGCTTATATGAATGCCTAAATAAGTAATCGAGTGCTTAGCTACACTGAAAGGAGGAGGATGAGAGCCAAAGAGTAGAGGTAGTAGGGTTTAGAGGAAGTATTTGATTCTTATCAAAATTAATTTGTAGGCCGGAGCATTTATGGAAGGTCGCAAGCAGGTTCTGAAGTAGTATAAAATCTTTGGGTGGATCAGAGCAAAACAATAATATCGCCTGCAAAAAGAACTGAGCGGAGAGTGTGTTCACCAATCGTAAACACCACTAACCCCTGATGTTGAGTTAAGTAATCTGGACAGAGGTTCTGGGGCAATATTAAAGAAAAGGGGAGAGAGCGGGCCACCTTGCCTGGTGCCCTTAGTTATGGGAATGTCAGTGGAGATAAAGTTAGGTGTGACTAATCTAGCTGTGGGCAAAGAGTATATTTGTTGTAAAAAGTCTAAAATGGGCCTGAAATATCAAATTTCTGCATGACCATGAAGAGCCAGGCAAAACTAATGTTGTCAAAGGCTTTTTCAGCATCTAAGGATATAAATGTGAGATCAAGCAGTGGGTGGGTTTTAGCATATTCTAGGGCTAACAATACTTTACAGATATGGAGCGTTGCCGAGCAACCCGGCACAAAACCGGATTGGGCTTGATGCAGTATGGTAGGGAGCAGTAGGGCCAGCCTGGTCGCCACAATTTTTGAGAGTATTTTGGTGTCAAGATTAATTAGAGAGATAGGCCGGTAAGATCCTGGTAGCAGCGAGTCCTTCCCCCTTAGTAGCTTTGAGTTTAATATGTGCCTGGGAGAAAGTTGGGAGATAAGGGAAAACCTCCCACATTGCCTTGTATACATGATACAGAGTGTCTGGGATGAAATCTGAAGTTAATTTATAGAATTCGGCACTAAGGCCTTCAGGTCCTGGAGCCTTTGCCGAGGGTAGGTATTTGATAGTGGCACGAGGTTTAAGGCATCCAACTGGTATCTGGAAAGCTTAGGCAGATTTACAATGGCTAAAAAGTCTTCTGCGGCTCTAGAATCAATCGAATCCTCTGAATACAGAAGTGTAATAAGACGTGAGGCGGACGTTCATATCAGAGGACAGCGTTAGAATATTACCCCTGGGAGACCTGAACGCAGATATACAAGTAGGAGGAAGGGGGCCCGCACAAAGCTGTGCCAATAATTTACCCAACTTATTGCCATAGCTATAAAATTTTAGGGTAGAAGAGGCCAATTTGGCTGCTTCCTGATGCTCAGCCCACAAATCAAAGGCTCATTTAGCAGATTGCCAATTCAGCATGTTCATTTGAGTGCAGTTGAAGGAGAGCGCTATATGTGCTTGACGAAGAGATTACCTAGCCTGTTGGTAGTGAAACTGGGATCGTTTTTTTAAACTGTGGTATAAGAAATTATGCACCCTCTAAGGAATGTCTTTTCAGTTTCCCAGAATAGATTAGGATTAGTTAAGTGTGCTCCATTCGTGTCTGCAAATTCCGCCCAGGCTACTTAGAGATGAGATTTGAAGTCTTCGTTATTAGTTAGGTAGGCGGGGAAGCGCAAGGGGCTAGTAGTTTTCGGAGCTTTCACCCAGGCAGCTGAAGCAGAATTGGACAATGATCGGAAATGGCATTATCAAATATTGTCGATTTGCATAATAGCGGCAAGAGAGACTGCGAACAGATAAAATAGTCAATGCGAGAGAAGGAGTCAAGTGTATTCCTGATCCATTAAATGTTGAAGGTGCCATGTGTCATGAAGATTAAGCGTATTCATAGACTGCGCCAAGGCAGTGGAAGGTGGAGGTTGGGGCTGTTGTCTAATGACATGTGGAATAGTCCCTGGTGCAATCAATACAATGGTATGTCACTGAATTACAATCCCTGCCTAGTATAACGGTGAGATTCCGGGATTTGTAAGGCCCATGGTATCAGGTCTTGATAAAAGGTCTGCCCTGGAGAGGGCATACAGATTGGAGATAGCAATGTCATGAGCGGCGATAGTAATATGGATGGTAAGTTTGCGACCCTCAAAATCAGAGTTAACAGAACAAACGTAGATTTTTGTGGAATAGTACAGCTACCCCTGCTTTACGACCTACGGCAGGAGAACCATATACCTGGCCTACCCATAGCTTCGAAAGGCAGGAAAGATAATTTGCTGAGAGATGTGTGTCCTGCAAAACAACCACATCTGCCCCAAAAGTTTCAAATGGTGTAGAACTTATGCTTATTCGGTGAGCGTAGCCCCTTAACATTCAAAGAAATTGCCTTTAAGTGATCCCCGTCGTCTGATGGAGCCATGGCTGTCGCAGTATGAGAATAGAATAAAGCCCACGGTAAGGCAATACCATGCCAGGCATTGCCCCCCAACGAGTTCAGGTTCATTATGATAAACAATACCTAGGGAAATTGAACAGATAAATACAATGAAGCAGAATAAAAGCTGAACTCTTAAACAGGAAGAAACTCCCGGAGCAAAGTAGGAACTTCACTTTTTTCCGCATGAGGCAACCTCAGGAAAGAGTCAGCACTAGATACTCCACTACTGTATTGTTAATCAACTTTCGTGGGGGGGGGGGGGAGAGAGAGGAAAAAAAAAAAGGGGGTGGGGGAGGTAGAAGGGGGGAGGAAATATGAGAGTACTCTTCGCCTACCCGAGGGGATGGGCTTACACAGCGATTAGCCATAAGGATGGCAGGTAACCAAAATAAAGAAAGGGCAGGGCCTCTGTGCTGTCAGGGCCCAGAAAAAAAAAAAAAAAAAAAAAAAAGGAGGACCATAGAATAATCACTAAAGGCAGTAGACAATAATCCCGATAGTACATATAAAAGAAAAACCATTACGTAGACAGTGGTGAGGAAAAGTCAGCGATTACCATATCAGTCTTCGGCCTGACCTAAACACACAAGTTTGTGAGGCGGTTTTTGAGGGCTTGGTTGATTTTGGAGGGGGGGGGGGGGGGGGGGAGCAAGAAGATGATGTAGAAAGAGAACCTTGATCCATGGCGGTTTCAGGGCCACAGAAGGTCCTTCATCCATCAGCAGGACCAGTATCTGCTCCTCTGTGCAAGGAGGAAAGGGACGGGCACTGCCAGAGCCCTTCAAAATGACCTCCAGGAAGCCACTTGTGTGAATGTCTCTGACCAAATAATCAGACTTCGTGAGGGTGTCCTGGTGCACGACAATACCCGGCCCTCATGTGGCGAGAGTATGCAGGCAGTTGATGAAGGAATTGATACCACTGAATGGCCCCTACACTTGCTTGACTTTAATCCAATAGAACATCTCTGGGATATCATGTTTCAGTACATCCGACATTGCCATGTTGCACCTCAGACTGTCCAGGAGCTCAGTGATGCCCTGGCCCAGACCTGGGAGGAAATATCCCAGGACACCATTCGTCGTCTCATTAGGATCATGCCCAGACGTTGTCAGGCATACATACAAGCACGTGGGGGCCATACAAACTACTGAGCACCATTTTAAGTTGCTGCAATGAAATTTCAGCTAAATGGACTAGCCTGCTGCATCATTTTTTTTTATTTTTTTGGAGTGTCTTTGAATTAAGTCCTCTGTAGGTTGATAATTTTCATTTTCAAATGATGGGGCATACTTACGTTCCTAACACATTACCTAGTCCAGATCAGTATAGATATCCAGCTTGATATTTTTCCCCATTACGATCTGATGTGTTTTCAAAGTGTTCCTTTAATTTTTTTGAGCAGTGTAGTTTCTGTATTAAATTTCTGGGAATGATGGTAACCTCATTCCAGGCAGTTCCACTCCACACCCCTGCAACTCAACATTCTGCCTTCATGGGAGAAGTCTGTCTAGCCCTTCTACAGACCAATTCGCCTGACACCTGCCCCCGAATGGTGGCTTGGGAATCCAGCTATGCCACTGGGGGAGGTCGTTCCTTCCAATGTCATTGAACATTCTCACAACAAATGCCAGCCTATTAGGCTGGTGAGCTGACAGACACCTTGTTGGTGCATGGGACCTAAACATTTGAGGAATCTCATCTCCCAATCAAAATTTTGGGCTTCGGGTGATTTGGGTGTCCTTGCAATGCTGAACACCCCGACTTGAAGGTCATATGATTATAATTCAGACAGTGCCACGGTAGTGGCATACATCAACTATCAGGGAGGACCAAAAGTCTTGCCAAAGTAAGAGGTAGAAAATTCTGTTCTGGGCAGAACTTCATGTTTCAGCCATGACCACAATTGACATTCCAGGCATAGACAATTGGCAGGCAGAAATCCTCAGACAACAGTGGCTGAATCTGTGAGAATAGTCCCTACACCCGGGAGGTGTTCCAAGACCTGTGTGGAGGATGCCAGATGTGAACAACCCCAATGTAAAATAAGCCTGGGTTACAAAAATGGTTGTTCTGTGTTTACTTACATTTTACACTTATTTTTTGTGAATAAGTAGGGGGTATTGTGTACTCATTCACATGGGGGAGGAGGGGGATCTGAGGGTCCCCTTTGTTAAAGCTGGTTTCCAAATTCCAACAAACCCCCCACCCACAGCTCATGGTTTTGGGGAAGAGTCCCTTGTCCACACATCAACATGGGGACAAGGAGCGTTAGGGGTGAAGGTGCTCAGGTTCAAGAGTAGAAGTGTGAGTGACTCGTTGTGGCCCCCCCCCCCTTTCCTGATCTGCAAGGTTGCATGCTCGGGTAAGGGTCTGGTATGGATTTTGGGGAAAAAAAAACCACACCCCTTTTATTTTGCTAGGGGTTCCCCTAAAATCCATACCAGATCCAAAAAGGCCTGGTAAGGCTGGGGGGGAAATCCACTGACAGCCATACTTGCCCCAAAACAACACCCCCATGATGAAGGGATGTGGCCCGGTTTGGTTCAGGATGGGGAAGGGGGCTCTCGCTCGACCGTCCCCTTTATTTTTCATTGCCGACATTCTTTTGCTTACATGGGGAAAGCCACTAACAGTCATCGGTTAAGGACATGGTGACCAGCTTCCTGGCCCTCTCCTTAATAACCACTACTCTTCACACACAGAATTTGGATTGGTTGATAAATTTTCGACCAAATGAAATTTGTGTGTGTGTGTGTGTGTGTGTGTGTGTGTGTGCGTGTGCGTGTGTCGGGGGAATGTCTCTTCTCTGCAATCAGGGCTCAGAGCTCACCTGACTGAGATATGCACTGTGGCTTCAGATCCTTTATCCCTGCTGTTAAAGCTGAGAAAAAAAAAAGCCTTTGATCTGTGTTTTTTTGCATGATCTACACAAGAGATGGCCACAGAAACAGGTACAACTCAAGCAGAAGGATTTGTTTCATCTCTGTGTATTATCTAAGGCTAGTCATTTCAGGGTGTGAGGGTTTTTAATCACCATTTCAAAAAAAAAAAAAAAGTTCCCTTCAAGGCATACCAGTTGGTTGTAGTTTCAACCAAACTGTCAAGTCATCATATGGCTGATGTTATGACTGATCACTCGCAGAACCATGGTAACTGTACATCAAACAGAGGCTAAGATGGAAGCTTCCTGGGCTGTAAAAGATAGGATTTAGTTCTGCTTCAATCATCTTTCTTTTTATAAAATTCTTCTTAAATTGTGTAAATTAGACTCAATTTTTTTTTGTTCACTATAAAAAAAATGAACAATTATGGAGAATTACTTGTACTAAAGGTAACACTTGGACAATTTTCCAAGTAGATGAAGATTTCACCAAGGCATGCAAGAATTCTAATTTTCATATAACCCTATATTTACAAGATAATGCGGTTGCAGTTAGCTAGCAGTAAAATCAGAATGAACACAAACCAGATTGTAAGGCTTCCATACCTCCTGGTCTTGGCTTTAATATAAGGTCTATCATTTCTTCCCAGTTGCTTTGAAGAATAGCCCTATGAGTGAAATATACATGTCAGCTTTTTAAACTTAAGAAAAAAATAGCAGGTAAGAAAAAAAAAATTCAAAATTACCTTCCAACCTGGTAAGTTGGAACAGCGGTTGTACCAAAACGCTGCATGCCATAATAATTTATGAAGCCGATATCCCTGAGTGAGGTCATGGCTTGCTCTACCTGTTCATCTGTTCCAGTGATATTTCTGCCAAAAACATTCAATATATTGAGTGAAACAAGTTGAGAAATTAAGAAAATGAATGATATTTTGAATGGTGCTGAAAACATTCTGGACATAAAGTGAATTACATTTTAAATTCAGCCTTTCATAAATCTGCAATTTAAAAATCGGGCATGTGACGAAAAGCACATAAAGACCTTCAAATTACAAGCCTATGGAAAAATAATCAGTGGTTCCAGAAATAAAGGCAACTGAATTTATATGCAACTCTCTGTTCCTAATATCTGAGCTTGGCCTAGCATTCTCCCACCCTTGATGTCCCTCTATTGATCAATGGGGATGTCTTTAGATCAATATTAAACCCAAAACCAAAAATGTAATATAAAAGCAGCTTACCAATCATTAGATGTGGCGGCTGCATTTTTTTTAGGCTTTTCCCCCTCTGTTTTTACTTGGTGATCCACCTGTATTAGAGTGTCTACACTCCGGATGAAAAGGGCAACAGACACACCCTTGGACAGTAGCATGGTCAGACTGAAAGATGCACTAGCAGACGTAAATACATTGGGAAGCCTGACAAAGTCACGTGGGTTGGTGGCGTAAGGTGTAGGGCAGAGCCTAGTGACGTCACTTCCAGTAAAGAGCCAAAAAAGTCTTAGTTTTATACAACGCTGGTGATTTTTTCATATTGGGAGCACATTTTATTGCCGTTTCTATCTTTGAGTATTTTAAACGTTCTTCACGATTTTATGCTTGCTCTTCCTTTTTATTTGGGGATGATTGGATGTGGCGATAGAGAATGTGGGTGCCATGAATTTAACCAAAGGGGACCTGCTGCCACTTGGAGTCCTGTTTGGGAAACAGTTGCCTTTAAGCAATGTATATTCATTTATATAAATCAAATTTTTCAGGTAAGTGGCTACTTCTGGTGGATGTGCACTTTTCAAGTTTTGGTGGAACACGTGATTAATTTGTGGAGGAGGTCACAAACCAAATGATAATTTGAATTATAGAAGACATTTTATATCATTTACATATTCCCATGGGACTTATTTTATGAATAATTTGTGTTTATCCATCATTTTGATGTAGCACAACACTAATTAATTGTTTCATAATTTTGGTGTGGAAACACTAAGTGTTTTGCAGCAACTGATCTTTATTTTTTGTCATTTTGGTTAGCGCAGAATTTTTTGCTTTAAGGTTGATGGGGGGGGGGGGGGGATACCTCCCAAAGCACGATTGATGTTCTGCCAAAAAGGGAGCACAGGGAGGTTTCACCACTGGCAGAATACAATGATCATGCCGGTGGCTACAGCCGCCAGCAGTGATTGGGTTAAACAAAAACCCAACAGACTGGTTGCACTGCAGTACAACCAGCCTGCTCAAAGAATTGTACCTGTGGAACTGGCTAAATTTTGATCAGTCTATGGCCAGCTTAAGCCCATGTCCATTTTATGTCAATTCTGGACACCCAACACACACAGATGGGTTGCAGCAATCTGCTAATGGCGACATAATCAAGCAGCAGACAAAATGGAAAAAAACCACCTGCAATACACTGCTTGGAACTTGTGAGCCGAGCTACTAATGGCATTTTAACCATATCTTCATAAACAGAAAATGTTGAATTGGTGGCCAATTGCATCACTACAAAACTGCTTAGTGTTACAGCTGTAAAAATAGATTTTTGTTTCCTCTACCTTCCAAAATATGCAGTTATCGCTTGAGTTTTGCATACCTTGTATATGACCTTTTTTTTTTCACTTTTTGTTTTGTCTGTTACTTATTTGTTAAATTAACATGAGACAATGCTCATGAATTAAGATTTCAGTTTTAATATGCAATTTAAGCATTACTAACAAAAGTACATTCTGATTGTGCAGTTCTGTCAATCTACCATTCCCAATTTACAGTATTCTGAAGCTGCAAAGATTACCATAACCGCTTAGCAACAGGCAGCCATTTTACAGTTAAGTTATACCTTAAAATGACTGTAAAATTATTTCCTTGAAGTTCGCCCAACTTGAGCGGGTGCTTCTGGTATGTGAAATTTCCCAACTTGAAATTCATTAAACACTTATTTAAATGGGACAGCCGCTGTGCAGTTATTCTGAAAAAAAGTGAGCAAAATTATATGCAGATTAGTCGAAACACCACATTTCTAAATTGTGACTAATGCAATAATTTAACAAAAAAAACTTAATCCAGCTTAAATCATGTAAAATTTGTGCTATATTCGGACATTCTGAATTAAATGGGTAATGCTAATGAAAAGACAAATGTTGTTACTGAGATAAATGTTTAATATTAGATTTATTCTAGGTACTTATATAGCGCCGTCCATTTACGCAGCGCTTTACACATATATATTGTACATTCACATCAGTCCCTAACCCTCAAGGGGCGTACAATCTAAGGTCCCTAACTCACATTCATACATACACATACTAGGGCCAATTTAAACAAGAGCCAATTAACCTACTAGCATGTCTTTGGAGTGTAGGAGGAAACCGGAGTACCTGGAGAAAACCCACGCAGGCACAGGGAGAACATGCAAACTCCAGGCAGGTGGTGCCGTGGCTGGGATTCGAACCAACGACCCTAGTACTGCCAGGCGGAAGTGCTAACCATTTATCCACTGTGCTGCCCATAGATTAGTAAATCAGATAAACATTTGTTAAAGATAACATTATTTCACGGTTTATATTGCATGTATTCATACATTATGTAATAAAAAGAAAAATTAAATGTGAAACTTTTGTTCAAAATAAAAACCGGGTTACACCAGACTGCCTGCTCAGTAGAAGCAGTCTTCCTGAAAGCTTTGCCTATGGAGAAAAGCTGTGAATCTGTAGTTTGCACTGGCCCACCAGCTGATGAAGAAAACCAAACAAAAAAACGCTGGTATCAGTGTAGGCTGCGGCAGGTGAAGGAAGTTACTAGCAGAATAGTAGGTGGTATAGGAGAAGGTTATGGGTTTACCAATTAAAAAGTATACATTTTTTATAAACTCCTAACATAATACCTGAAGACTGAACCAGTTGCTCTCGTCTTGCTACTGTGCAAGTATGCAAATCATAGTGCTGTAGAAATTAGGGTGTACAGGATGTCGGAGAGGAGACTTTCAAGAAAATGTTCATTTTATATAACTTCATTAAATGTCACAAACTGAATTCTGTGAAATGAGATGTAAAATACATTTCTCTAGCACAGGAATATCTAGCTAAATAAACTAACTATCCAGACTATTTACAATCAAATTTAACATTCAGATAGCAAACGTATATACTGCAGATCTATGCTCAAAAGAACTTAAAAAGGTGATGTTTGTGACCATATCGGACAGTAAATACATCAAGACAGCTGAACCAGTAACTCATGGTTCTGATTAAACAAAAAAGTTAGTAGGTGCTCAGTTGTATTTAGGATAGCTTCTTTAAAATAAACATCTGCTTTGTCAATTCAGGCAAGAGAACAGCTTTGCCTTTTCTCCAGAGAAGTTTTCTGCATTTTTTGCACACGTTCAAAAAATTATTTTAGGCTTGAAGATTTCCCCAAACATTATATATTTTCTGAAAACAGACACCCTTAAGAATAGAATAGTGGTAGCGCCAATTTTTTATTTTACATGACAGTACCCCACAGGTCTAAGAAACACACAATTTCAATAAAAAACACACTAAAGTGAATTTTAGGGCAAACAAACGTAATAAATTACCCAAATGTTTAGTAAAATATAAGAGATAAGGTTGCAACGAGTAAATAGATACCAAACATGTCAAACCTTAAATTTCTGTGCACCCGTGAAATGGCAACAAACTTCAGTGCCCTATATTTAGGCAACACTTTAAAAGTCCCCTATAGGTCATCAAAAGATCTTGTGCAAGAATTATTGCTCTCACTCCATTGTGTACGGCAATATGTACCATGTGTATCACATTTGACGTTTTCATGTGTAGGTGCCCCCAGCGCGTGAGTTTATGTTCGTACATGTGTATATGTGGAGGTCCTCAAAATTTTTGCTTAACTTTATTTCTCCCCCATCACATAAAGGGACAAAAATTCCCCTATATGATGATTTTTTTGGCGACTGGTCTCTTTAACTGCCATTCACCTGTAATATAAGGAAATAACGGGAGGGCAGTGGCTTTCGTTATGGGAGGACAACATATGACGTCTTCCCACTAACTGCGCGTCCACAAGTAAGCGGCATTCCTCAGAGGGGACATTACATTGATCATCAGGGCATGGATGATCGGCGACCTGATGATCAGTGCAGCCCCATCAGTGCCCATCAATGCCACATACCAGTGCACATAAATGCTATATATCAGTGCCCATCAAGAGCTGCCTTTCAGTGCCACTTATCAGTGCCATATATGAGTGCTGCCTTCCACTGCCCATCAGTGATGCCTGTCAATGCAACTTTTTTTTCTTCAAAATTTTCAGTCTTTTTTAGTTTGTTTAGCAAACAAAAAACCCAGTGGTGATTAAATACCACCAAAAGAAAGCTCTATCGCTAAAATATTAAAAAAAAAAAAAAAAAAAAAAAAGGCTAAAAATTGTTTGGGTGCAGTGTTGCATGACCGCACAATTGTCATTCAAAGTGTGACAGCGCTGAAAATTGGCTTGGGCAAGAAGGGGGTAAAAGTGCCTAGTAGGCAAGTGGTTAATGAGACATGCAGGATCTAAAAGACCCTGCATGTCCCCTCTGAGCTCCACTGAATATAATGCAATGTCACCAACAAGAAAAGGAAGAAAGCAGATGTGAAGGGGGCGCGGTTAACGGGGAGTGTGGAAGCAATCAGGCAGCAGCGCTGCTGACGGAATGCTTCCATTTGACAGGGAGGAGTCTGTTTTTCAGTTTTACACACAAATCCAGTGGCTGCAGCCATCAGATGGTGTGTGTAACCCACTGCTGTCAGGTCCATAAGACGTTTGGGCCTGGCAGCGAAAGAGTAAACTCCTCCCCAACAACCTAAGCAGCATATACTTTCCTTTACTCTACCATTGCTCTGTTCAGTACTTCCAGATAAGGAGGTGCATGTAATTGCACCATCATGTGGGAAAGTCAGAACCTCGTGTAAGCTACCACTCCGCCGAGTAGTAGCTTACACAGGGCTTTTCTTTCACTTGTGCCTGTTTAACAGAGTTGTGGAGAACTAAAAGGAAAATAAATACAAAGCTCTGTGGAAGTTTGCATAATAGTGATCCTGCTGCTTTGGTATATGAGCAAAACCCAAGTTCACCAAATGTTACCTTCTGAATTTTGTGTAACAAAATGTAAAATACATTACATAGAAAATATTTAACATAGGAAAATACATGCAGTCATAAAGAAGGGTGTCCCTGTAATAAAGATATTTAAACTCATATACTACTCTTGTGATAGAGACAGGAGTTTAGAATGCTGTGTGACTGACAGTGTAGAGTTGGTGGGTCATAATACTTGTGTCTAAAATGCATATGGTACTTACTTGAGAACAGCAATTGCCTGAACAGTGATAGCTCTTTTATCTTTGGTCCCCATATAGGAAAATATATTAGGCTTAACTCTACAAAAATTAAAAAGTAAAAAGATTAGGAATGTTTTCACTAGAGATTTTACCTGGGGAGAAAAAGCTAAAACTGTTTAGCCAACATTTTATGAACTGACCTTAAAAACTTGGAGAGCACATTAATAGCATCCATGGTGTCTTTATTTTCTTTATACAGCACAAAATGGCAATAGCTACCACGAGATTTTGGCCATGAATGCTTACGTGGATCTTGAAAAGAGACATAAAGTAAAAATAATTAGTATAAGTAAAAACAAAAAAGGTAGATTTGGCCTTCTGAAACAGGATGATAAGTATGGTTAAACAAAAGAAAAAAAAAATCAAAAGAAAAAAAAACCCACAACACATTAAAGAATTACAAAGTTCTGGTAACCAGGCCAAGTAATGTGGAATATTGGTGCATTGTAAACATTAGTGTTGCTTGTGCATTACCAGTTTAAGTATGTGTTTGGCATTCCCCTTCTTTTTCATCTGTGAAATGCCAGCTTTGCTTACCTGAAGTTGTTTTGACCTCTGTCCAAGTGTATAGCATAAAGAGCACAAGAAAGTCATGTTTAATTTCTATATTGTTCTTTTTACAGGTGTCAAGAGTTGGACATGCAAAGATAAATATGACTGCATGGTCATTCCATTCCTTAGGGCACAATGGCATCCAGCAAATGCGTGGCAAGTTGCAATGAACTTAGAAGCAGTAAACGGCTGAGAAAATGGACCTTTTTCACATGTATTTACATACAAGTCTAAAATATGACACAGCATTACATGTCCTAGGTCAAATAGCACACATCTCCATAAACTTTACATGATACAGAAATATTTCTCTATTGAATCTATTAATATAAAGAAACCATCCAAATATTAAAGGTTAGGAGACAAGACATCTTTGTATAACCAGTCATTAATCTTTAAAAGAAAACTCATATGATCAAAGCAATATTTAACATTTATGAAATTTAAATTATGTTCTTAAATGAAGGCATCCTTGTATCAACACGGTATTTAGTGACAAAAGTTCCATCAAGACATTGATGCAAAGTAAGTCAAGAGTGCTTATTAGCAAAACAAACTTGGCAGTGCTTAATAATGTTCAAATATAAATGCCACCATGATAACGGTCAGGCTCTAGGTGTAATTTTCCATTACAGCCCAAAAAAAAAAAAAAAATCTGTCCAAATCTTCCCTTCTCTTATTTTCATAGAGTTGCAGAAAATGTGTATAGAGCAAGAAAAAAAAAAAAGTTATCTTTAAAGTGTCACTAAAAGCAAAATAGTTTTTTTTCATTCTGAATAGAGTAATAGAATAAGGGAGGGGTATAACCCCTGTTGGTTCTTTTTGCCATCCATGTCCCATATGGCTAAATTTCCCTTCACTTCTTGTCCCATACCAAAAACTATAAGTGAGAGGAAATCCTTCCAAATTGAGGGAATCCAAGGGTGTCAACCAGGGTCACCAGAACTAGCATCTCCATTGAAACATATTCCCCTCTATTACTGTTCTGGTACCAACCCAAAGTTTTGGGGGGTTTCACTTTCCTAATGTAAACGGGACAAACAAGAGAGGGTGAGTCTCCCTAACAGGGGCATAGACAGCAATAAAACCTGGCAGGTATTCTAATCCCTCCTTTATTGTCTTTAGTGACACTTAAAGAAAAAACAGTCAACTTGATAGTTTCTAAAAAGTGTGCTCTATAGATTTACAAAGAAATCAGTATAATAGTAATCCTCTGAAGGTTAGTCTAGTAACTTTCATCAACAATTAATTTCATTAACATAAAAAAATTATTAATGTATTTTATAATCCTGCGAAAAAAAGGTCTATAGTAGAAGAACGGGCCAAGCGGTTATTGTCAGTTAGTACATAAACCTAGCGTAGAAGACATGCATAGCACAATGCAATACTTCTACAGCTTTTTAAGGATGATTTAATCAATGAGAAACACTGATGGAATTTCAGAGGAAATGCACCACTACTTGATTGCATGCAAAACATGTCATGCTTTAGGCATGCACAAGTCATGTCATTCATTCCTAGGCCTTGCTGATTGCAGGTACTAAGCAATAGCAGGACAAATGTAACAGATGTGCAACAGGACAAGCTTGTACAAAACTTACTAAAACTCAATTGAGCTATATAAGAGTCTATAAGGGGTACAGGATAGGAAAATGGCTAGTAATATCAGTAATACTCCTAAAAGTGCATCTGTGCCCAGACTGTGGACTTATAAAAATATTTACATATTACTAAAAAGTCTTAAAAAGTGCTTTGAAACAAACCATCACTGACCTCTGCACCTGGAGTCTGTTTCTGGAAGGCTGGCAGTCAGCCACTGCCTGCTAAGAAGAAAATGAGGAGAGATGAACTGCAATTTTAGTGTCTCTGTGACCTTTAAAAAAGATTTTCTCCACAGTACCTGCAGCTACAGAGGTCAATGAGGTCTTGTGCTTAACAATTTTCCCTATTAAGAATATGTATTTAATATAACTCCCATTGTCTGGCCACAGGTGTACCTTAACATGAAAAATTTTAAAAACAAAAAAAGGTATTTCTGATAGGCAATTATCTGTTTTTACCTACCTATTCATTTTGGTATACCTACAGTGTGTTGTCCACACATTTATCCATCTGGAATCACTAGAATTGTAGTGTTTTGTTTTAGAATTTATATTTAATATTTAACTAGCATATTACATCAACGATGTACACCAGTTGGGGCCAACTTAAAAAACTTTAGGAGGACTTTAAAGTGCAGCCTGGCAATCCAAAGGCCTGAGTTAAGAGCACTTTGTTTTCGTGTATGGAGGTGTCTTGTGTCAAGTTTGCCAATCAAATTGAATTGGCTGTAATGCACCTTAAACACCTGAAAATGTTGATCCTGCTATATTTTTTTGCAATACACAGTCAAAAAAGAAGTCATTATTTGTGTCAATGACCACAAACGTAACCTCCAGAAATGGGTACAGGGACTGCAATAATAATAACCCCTTGCACTGGTGACCACAAACACCCCCAGGACTGGTGTCAATTGCAATAATATTAACCCCAAAGCAAAGAGGCAAGTGGTACAACTAAAAGAGCAGCAGAGGTCCACTGCCAAGATGGGAAAAACTGTCTACAGTACAACAAATACCTTGACTGTCCACAAAGCTGGATTTTATGGAATGTGAAAAGGTCAAAAAGGTAACTGTTGAAAAACCTGTACAAAATCCAGTTTAGAATAGGTCAACACACATGTAAAAAAAGCAGAAAACAAGTGAAAAGCCTTCTGTGGTCTGACCAGATCTAAAACAAAACCTTATGTAACACACTGTGTCAGAAGTCCAACATTGATTATCATCCTGAAACACACAATCCTCAAGGTAAAACATAGTGGTGGTTGTAAAAATCCTTTTATTAGAATGAGGATAAGACATGGAAATCCTGAAGGAACACCTGTGTAAGGCTGCCTTTGCAAGGGTGACTAACAACCCTAGAAATGACAGCAGAAGTGTAGAAATGACAGCCGATTCCTGCAATTGTTTCAACCAAGGAAAAGCTGCCAGTTTGTGCCAATGTGCACACTGAATATGAGTGACTTTATTATTAATCAGTGTATACTCTTGTAGAATAGTAATGAGGAAATTTGCAGTATCTGCATCCCATTAGATACGATTAACCCTTCGGGAGTATTTTAACAAAAAGTGAAATGCTTGCTGCAGAGAATGCCTAAAATCTGACCTGTATTTTAGTGCAAACTTGTAGGAAAATCGGTGAGCCAATCAAACAAGCAAGCAGGAAATGACATTTCTGGAGGGCATTCTGTACACCAACTGTGTATGGAATGCCTCAAGGTAATAATTTACTCTGATAAAATCTGAATTATTGCATGAGTATGTTTTTTTTTTAAAGGAACATATCAGGTGGATCTCCACCTGTTTAAACTCCCCTGCCCCCCATTTCTTTGCCCCTTCCCCTTACTGAAAAAATCCTTTAAATTACAGAGACCAAACATTTCTTTATTACAGGTACTCATATAGTACCATCAATTTATGCAGCACTTTGCGTGTGTGTATATCAGTCCCTAACCCTCAAGAAGTGTACAGACTAAAATCCCTAACTCCCATTCATACATACATACTAGGGCCAATTTAGATATGAACCAATTAACCTACAGCATGTCTTTGGAGCGTGGGTGGAAATGGGGAAAAAACCTACGCAGGCAAAGGGAGAATATTCAAACTCCAGGCAGGTGGTGTCATGGTTGGGATTTGAACCAACAACCCTAGTACTGCAAGGCAGAAGTGCTAACCATTATGTAAAAGCCATTTACATATAAAAAGAGATTACACACACACACACTAACGAAAAAAAAAAAAAAAGTAAATTTTTTCCAACAGCTACCAAGCATTCATATATCCTGCACATTCAGTTTTTTTTGTACTTCTCTACTGTCAAAGTGATAATCATATGGTCTCCTGGTGACGTTTGAGTCACAGGGGCAAGAAGGTATATAACCCTTGACGTATTTCTTAGACCAAAGGTCTACTTCTTCGAGAGGCCTAAAGGAGCTGAACACAAACATACAATATGCACCAAATTAAACTCTTACTAGAATTGCATAGTAACTTGATTTGAATGTCAAAAATATTTTTTTTCCTTCCAAAAGTCTTAAATTTATCTTCATAGCTATCATCTGAACATGAAAAGAAAAGGCAGTGTAATCTTTAAAGTGTTACTAAACCCAAGACCCTGAATTCACCATCTAGTCTGCCACAGTACACACTACATGGAAATGCAATTATTTTAGTAACTATAAACTGCTAAATATCTTTTCTCATCAGCAGTTTGAACAGTCTTGTGACTTCTAATCAGTGTCCAACAAAGTACTGGTTAAAGCTTGTGAGGAGTTTTAATTCTGCTCTAGGAGGATGTAGAACCCCTGACCTCTGTCTGGACAGTGCTGATTCACCCTATGCTGAGAACATGCACTCTCCCAAGAAAAAAAAAAAAAAAATACCCTCTCTAGCAATATCCACCAAACTGAGCATGTGCAGAGTGACTCCACATGATACGTCTTATCAGGAGATAAAAGGGGGCACTGGAAGAAAGGGAAGGATCAGAGAAAACAGGATCAAACAGCCTTTTTACACAATGCAGAGGATTAACCCCTTAGGTTCAACAGTGAGTATAACAAACATGCTTTATTGCATATACAGACTGATTTTACTATTGTGGGTTTAGTAACACTTTAAGAATACGTTTTTGCCCATATCAGAATGTTAACCACGCTGAGGTGGTTAAGGACTTAGTTAGATTAGATTATGGCACAGATATAATTGAGTCATTCAACACAAAAAAATGATTGGGTTGTCACAAGATATTATAAACAATGACGGAGGAAGCAAAATACAACAGGTGGGAACTTAAAGTGATACTAAACCCAGGACCCTGCATTTACTATATCTGGTCTCCCAAAGTACGCACATCATGGAAATGCAATTATTGTAGTAAATTTAATCTGCTATATAGTATACTTCTTCTCAT